TACAATAATAGCGAATCAGCTCGACTTGGATTTGCCTTCTTGGACTATAATCTGTGAATTGAATCGATTACAATATTTTCTCTTAATTATGAAATCGCAACCAAACCCGGCTGCTTATGAATCAAAGGGTCAATTTGGTAGAGTGGAAATGTGAGAAAAGGAAAGGGAAGGTGATGGAGGGGAATTAAAAATTTGTGTTTGGCAAAAATTGTTAGAAGGAAAGGAAAGGGAATGGAAGGGTTTGGAGTGTTAACTTGTGCCTTTAACAGTAAATTTTTTAACCTCCCAAAAATGGGAGGAAATGAAGGGAAAGGGATGGAAAGGCTTGGTGTGTGATTTCATATTCCAATCTTGCCTTTGATTAGTTGATTTAGCAGTTGCAGGGAGAGAGGAGGGCAAGCTTGACAGTTGAGAACAGCGAAGCTTGCTTGCGAACGGCGAACGGCGAACGGCGAACCCAAATTGGAACAGCGGGCGATGGAAACTGATATGGGTTTTGATTTTTTGAACAATCTGATATGGGTTTTGATTTTTTGAACAATCTGAAATGATGCCGATATGGATTTTGAAGTTTTGATTCTTGCAGATAAATATATAAACTAAAATATATGGGTTTTGAACTTCTGATTCTTGTAGTTGTTTGTAGTTGCAGAGAGAGAGAGAGAGAAGTTCGGCATTGAGAACGAGAATAGAGGCCGAAATGATTTGCCCTAAAAAAATTTGCCCTAAACAAATGGAGGCCGAAATGATTTGCCCTAAAAAAATTTGCCCTAAACAAATGGAGGCCGAAATGATTAGCCCTAAAAAAAAAAATTTCCTACGAGACAAATATATATATATATATATATATATATATAAATTTATATTTTAAACTATAAAAAGGAGACAAATATATATATATATATATATATATATATATAATGGCATAATAGTAAATTTATTAAAATAATTTCTTGTTCCTATCCTTCATTTTCTTTCCCCAAACATGATTATTATCCTTCCCTTTCTTTTCCTTCATTAATCAACCAAACACAATACCAAATTAAAATTATCCTTCCCTTTCCTTTCCTTCATAACTAATGTTATCCTTCTCCTTCAAACCCATCCTACCAGACATAGCCAAAGTGATTCGAATTAACAATTTGCCAATTTAAACGTCCGTTCTTAAGAATTGGCAAAGAAAAATGATAGCCAGGTAAGTATTTACCGATTTAAACGTCCATCTCTAAGAATCGACAAAGAAAAATGACAGTCAGGTACCCATGACAAAGAAAGTGATTGGACATTACCAAAAACTATTGCAAAAGGCTACAAAGTGAGCCTGTGATGACGAGAATGGTGTCTCGGATTGAAACAAAATGGATTGTAATTGTTCTTCTAATTTTCGTGTTATCAAAAATTATAAAACTATACTTTCTCACAAATATTTTTTAAAATTTTCATGCTAACTAAATTCAATTTTCCTTTCACTTTTACTTTTTATTATTGATTTTCATATAATTAAAGAGTTAAAATCCTAAAACTCCCACCTATTATTCCAAAATAGTCATATAACCCTACTTACCGAGAAAATAATGTTGGTAAATATATGCTTCATGAGACATTTAAGATATAACAAACCTTATACTAATATATCATGAGTTAATTAAAAAAATGCTAAGAAATCATTAATTAAATATGCAACTCCATATTTAATTAAATATGCAAAATAAAGTAATAAAATAATAATAATATAAAAGGAATAAACCTGGACCGAGGCTAGTATTGGATACTATGTCCTTAAGACAGATTCGCCCCACTATGGTGCTAACGGACTCAGTGGCGTCTATCTCCCATGATACAACGGTTTACATCCACCAGTAGCAGTACTACAAACTCGTGGATACGGCGAACCTCCTCCGCGTAATACTCTCTCTAACTCAAAAATGCATCTATACTATATAAATGCTGAATTGGGTGTAATCCGAACCAAATGGTTAGAACCAATCTTAATATGGCTCGATGAAATTGGATTAGGGTCTAAGTGGCTCGAACCACTTAACCTATGGTTTGAACCCACTTGGGTTGGGTTCAAGTCTAGAGAGGGAGATAGAAGAAAATGAAAATGAATGATTTACAAATGATCCAAATGGGGGTATTTATAGGCAACAAGGTGCCTTTTCGGGTGGGTGCAACCCTTTAAAAAAAAACTAAAAAGTAGTTTTTAAGTAAGGTGTCTTTTCGGGTTGGGTGCAACCCTTTGGAAAAAACTAAAAAGTAGTTTTTTAAGTAAGGTGTCTTTTCGGATTGGGTGCAACCCTTTGGAAAAAATTAAAAAGTAGTTTTTTAAGTAAGGTGTCTTTTCGGATTGGGTGTAACCCTTTGGAAAAAAACTAAAAAGTAGTTTTTTAAGTAAGGTACCTTTTCGGATTTGGTGTGTCTCTTTATCATTGGACACAACCATTTATATGTGTCTCTTCATCATTGGACACAACCATTAATATGTGTCTCTTCACATTGGACACACCCACTCCAATTCGTTGCAATGGTTTAGTTGGTGTCTGTTCACCAATAGACACATCCATTTTAATAGGTTGCAATGGTTCACATGGTGTCTGTTCACCAATAGACACATCAATTCCAATATGTTGCAACCCTTAAGAAACAGATGCAACTCTTTGGAAAATAGATGCAACCATTTGGAAATAGATACAACCTTTTGATTAAAAAACTAATTTTTAATTTAAATTCAAAAACTAACCACCCATTTAAATAAGCCCAGCCCAAAAATAAAGGCCCAATCCAAAATTCCATTTAGTAAAAAGAATAATCGGACTTTACAATTAGGCCCAAGCCCAAGCCCAAGCCTAAGCCCAAAATTTAGCTTATTTAAATTTCAATTGGTTCTAACATTTTTTCCATGTGGGACAAACACTTCTTACATTTTGCATACTCATGTAGGCTTATCAAAACACCACACTTTGGAACTAATTTTTCATTCACCCGGAAACAGATTTGAGAAAGTAAATATACCACGTTCATCTCTTTACGGAGAGAAACGCGCTCGCCTAGAGATTCACAAAAAATTCTTAGCTGAATCTATTCCAAATCTCATCCAAAGTTTATACTTTTAATGCCTCCGTTTCCAACAAATAATAATAAAAAATTTGTCACATAACCCATGTACGAAAAAAAAAAAAAAAACCCTACCTAAAAACTCTTAGTTTTCAAAAATTTATCATATCACCCCATTCCATTTGTTTGCCGTAAAAAAGTAAGAATGCAAACTTTTTAAATATTATATGATTAAAATGCCTTTTTCACCTCTTAATGGCCGAGATGTAAGGATTAAAATCATTTTACCTTGTTTGAGAAAAGCTAATGTGTTGTTTTGTAAAAGACTCAACCAATGCTAGGCATATCGTAGTTGAATGGGAACTACAAGGTTCTTTCATCCGACCATCACCGATGCCAGACTAATCTTTGTCAATGCGAAGCCATTTACTGTCCAAAACAGAGTTCATTGATATGTTACTCCATCTCGGTTTGATACATTGTATCTTAGGGCTGTCTTTGACAAGGACGGATTTAGGAGTGAACTTTATGCCCACCCAAATTTTTTTAATTTTTTTTTGCCAATTTTAACTCAGTTCTAAAAAAAAATTATTACTAATATTAGCCCACCGCCCCTTGGTCTTTGACATGGGCCATTCTAAATTATGGGCTAAACCTGAAATAGGCCTTGTTTGGGCTCATGCCATGTACAAAATTTGGCTCTAAGAGTAGGTCCAATAGATACAAATCCGGCGATTTTGGGCCAGATTTGAAGATTGGCCTGCTCCAATGGCATATAGGAAAAGTGGGCCCCATAAAGAGGAAAAAAATCAGTTTTTTGGCTGATTTTGGTCCCTTTTTTTTTTTTTTTTTTTTTTTTTTCTTCAAAATAATTGAACCAAAAAGTCGTTAAGGCACTGTTTGGCTGATTCAAACAATGCCTTAAAAGGCTTTTTTGGGCAAAAAAAGTTAACAAAAAATAGATAAAAGTGTGTTTTTATTTTTATTTTTATTTTTATTTTTAAATTTGCTTTTTAAAATATTCCTATTGACATTTAGTCGTTTTAGGCACTATTTGGCTGATTCAAACAATGCCTTAAGGGCTATATTGGTACAAAAACCTATTTTTTGAATTTTTTTTTAAAATAATTATATAAATATTTATTATTATTAGCTTTTTTTTTTTAAATAAACATTTAATTGTTTATTTCAAATGATATTAGAAACCTTTCATTGTTTAGTTCAAATATATTTTTTTATTAAAAAAAATATGTCTTTGTTTTCACTATAAATTAATAAATCAAATGATATTAATCAAGATTTCATACATATTGACTAAATAATTTAATCAATAAACAATTTAATTATTTATTTCAAAATAAAACATTACACAATAAATATTGCATTACATAAACTTCATAACAATTTTAAAATAAAATAATGCAACATAAATTAAACACATGCTTCACTAAAGCGGTTTCACAAATTTTCAATTAAATATTTTTCCTCAACCGCGTATTTGTCTCTTTGTTGCGAAATATAGCCGTTAGAAAAAAAGTTAAAAAATAAATTTTATTTAAAATTTTAATATTTTTAGAAAGCAAAAATGCACCATTGGAGTACATCTTATAACTAAAATTTAGTAATTCTAAAATATTGACGTGGTTATCGAAAATACTGATGTGACTATGGAAAAATGCTAATGTGGCAAATTCGGAAAGCCTGAATTTGGAGAGTCCATTGGAGATGCCCCAACGGAGTTAGTAAATTTTTTTATTTATTTAATATGTTTATACCTTTAAAAATAAATAAAAATTCAGGCTTTGTTTGGATCTTGTGCCCTGTATATCTTTTTTGCCCTAGTGGGTTAGTAAAATTATTTTATTTAATAACGATAATTTTTTTTTAGTGTTTCGGAACTCCGGTTCGACCGCCTGGATCAAAGTCAAATGCTAGCATTTTGCCACTTGTTCATCACCGATTGCTGACGCGGCAGAGACCGGTCTTAAATACTGAAACAGAGCAGAAGTGGAATTGAATTGCAGCTTATTCAATCAACGGCGAGAAGATGAAGATCATTCACGTTCCGTGTTTGAGTGATAACTACTCGTACATGTATGTAGTATTCCCTTTTCTGATATTGTTCAATCCATTGTTAGGGCTTTCAATTACTCACTCAATCGTCCTTGCATATATGTGTGTGTATATGTATATTTATATGTATATCTGCGGTGGATTATGTTGCAGAATTATAGATGAGGCAACCAAAGAAGGAGCAGCTGTGGATCCAGCTGAGCCGGAGAAGGTTCTTCAAGTTGCTAAAGACAACCAAGTCAACCTCAAGACCGTTCTCACCACTCACCACCACTGGTCTCTTCTATTTCCTCAGCAATACAATCGATTCAAGCTATTGAATTTTACAAATGTTAAAAATAACATTAGGGCTTTAATTGATCATCTAGGTCATTATTGTTGATTGGGTTAATGTATACTTTGACTTTGTAGCGGAATTGAGATTTGTGACATGACTTGAATGCTTATATATATATATACTTACTTATAGATGTTTATATGTGATAGGGATCATGCGAGTGGCAATGATAAGATAAAGCAGCTGGTGCCTGGGATTAGGGTTTATGGTGGTTCGATTGATAATGTGCAGGGGTGTACTGATAAAGTGGGAAATGGTGATAAGTTGTCACTGGGGAGTGATATTAATATATTGTGTCTTCACACTCCTTGGTATGTTCTACTACTAAACTTGTTCCTTCTAATTTGTCATGCTTCGACATTTTTGTTATCTCCTACAGGATTTGAATCAAATAATTTATTTTTTGTTGTTTTGAATTTATTGGAATTTTCATATAATTTTGTCCAGAATCTACAATCTGTTACAGTGTTGTATTGAAAAATTTGGAGTGTACTTACCATGTGGATTCTTGTTGAATGTGTGCAGCATGATCTGCTGGAGGATTATATCAAGTTGTCTACTGATGCGTTCTTTTAGGGTCTTTTGGACATTTTTATGGTTATTTATGGCCCTATTAACTTTTTACAAAGGTTTTAATCTATAAATTCATCGTATTGAATGGAACCATTTAAGAAAATGGTAATCATGTAAAAGAAAAAGATATTAAAATGTTGCATTTGGTCATGTCTTTTTATTTATTTATTATTATTTTTGGGGGATCTCCGAATAGGTAAGGCACCCGCAACATGCAGTGAGGACTTGAACCCTCAACCTCCCATTTGGGAAGAAGAGGAAATACCACTTGGACTAGGCTCTTCGTGGCCCATTTGGTTGTGTCGAGAACATCTAAAATGACCAAATACAAAGAGTTCGAATGGAAAATCTCTTATTTAATTGAAAACTCCATTCAAGATAAATGTGAAATGAATGGGGTCATTCAAATTCAAGACATTCAAACGTGTCATAACTCCTAAGCGTATTCAAATAGTTGAATTGTTCTCTAGTGGGAATCCTATTATATGAAAATCTCATCTTGTTTGTTCTTACTCTTTTTCTTTGGCCTGCTTTCATCAGTCATACCAAAGGTCACATTAGTTACTATGTGACCGGTAAAGAGGAAGAGGACCCTGCTGTTTTCACAGGAGACACCTTGGTGAGTGGAGATACTGATTTCATATTTTCTTGTGTTAGAATAGAATGCTTTTTCAATAGAATGAATTAGAATGTTTCATCAACGGCTCTATTCATTCCCAAGAATGGACTTCGTGTTTATAAATGGATGCAGTGAGGGTAACAGGTGGCTGTTGTAAGAAGCCAAGCTTTATTTAATGAAATAAATTATATTACCTTGACACTTTATTATGGCCCATTCATAACTAAAAGGCAACTTGTATGATATATTTTTTCTATTTTCTGAATGAACTTGTATGCTATTTAATAATTTGATTTTATATAATTCATCTCTATTTGTAGTTTATTGCTGGGTGTGGTAAATTTTTCGAGGGCACAGCAGAACAGATGTATCAATCGCTGTGTGTGACATTGGGTTCATTACCAAAGCCAACTCGAGTTTTCTGTGGTCATGAGGTGAATACACACTTTGAGTTTCTTTCTCTAAAGGATTATTAATTTTGTTTTTAGTTACATCACATTTGTTTTTTTTATTCTAATCTTTTGTGAAGGATGTGAGATGGCTGGTAGTGCCATGACCGGATATCCTATTGTGCGACCCTTATTAATTGTAACTTTTACATAAATAAAAAATGTTATAATGTTCAGTATAATTATCACCAAAGTAGTTAGGTTAGCACAGCCGTCCAAAATACTCGGTTTATCTCCTACGTTGCATGTGTTGCCAACTATCTTTATATTCTAGCATCTTACAGTGTTGAATAATGATCAAAATCCATTTGTCTTGGAAGAGGAATATCCTTTTCTTCAAGACACAGTCAGGCCTTAGTTGTGAGTTATTTATTATTTCAGCATGTATTACTGCATTAAACTTGGTAAGAATGTGTTATTATACCAAAGAAACCTTGAGGGGCTATTTAGGGGGTGTGCAAGTATAACATAAGACAAAAGTTTGGAGTTAAAACACTCTAGTTCCATCCTATTAAACTTCGAAAGATAGACATGCTATATAATTTTTGCAAGAACGATCTCAACAGCCATATTTCCCATTTGGCTTTTAATAACCTCCTGATCATGTATGACCTTGTAACTCAATTATTCCCTCCTACTAAACCAAAGATTTGGCAAGAAGGAAAACAATAGTTAATCTGTAAACATTAACAAGAAGGCTCTATCATACCGACACCATCATACAATTTGAGCTAAATTAGATTCTGAAGGAGAATGAGTGCTTGAACATTCCACATTCTCTGTCTTTAAACTATGCAAACTGATTTGGATGTGCCAAGCTCTCTGATGTTTGGATGTGCAATGTCTAAATATGGTTATAGCTGCTGTCCAATAAAAGAAGGCTACTTAAAAGGGGATGTGAGATTTCCAGATGACCTAGGCCAGGAAGAAAAAGCCTATGCTTGCCAAGAGTTTGTGAGAGGAATTAACAGAGATGATTTTTGGGTTGTGAATCAACCGTATCCCTTTGATCTTTCACTATGATACTAGCTGGAGCGCAATACTGCTAGATTCCTCAAAATTTTTAGCCCCTATTCGTACTGACTGAACAACCTTGATTCAGTTTGGTGGTGGCTTAATTGAACTTTCCTTTCTAAATGATTTTGAAACAGACTTAGCAATCTGTCTAGACCAGAACTGTTTCTAAAATGTTATCACCTCTCAGTACTTCATGAAAATAACTTTTTCATATCTGGAAGTGGTTCTATCCCTAAAGACGTGGCTATAATGAATAATTTGTCTCAACAATCCTATTGCGCATTGGAGTTTTATTTCTAAGCTCTACATCAATCTCAGAGATTCCTCTCCAGAGGCCACAACATCAAGGGACCAATCCGTTGGATTTCATTGTTGCACCATGTTCTTTTTATAGATTATAGATTATAGAGAGAGGGATGAGAGAGTAGATGGCAGAGAGAGAGAGAGAGAACTCTGATGAGAGGCGCAGCCCTCTTCTTCATATATTTACACACACTACAAACCTAATAAGCCTACATAGGCTTATATAAATGATACAAGTCAACTAAAGAATACAAGGGCCCTACTATTGTATGTAATTACATAATGGCCCATCATATATATGTATATAACATTCTAACACTCCCCCTCAAGCTGGAGAATATATATCAAATAATCCCACGTAATATTTTTTCCCGAATGAAGTGACAATCAACTTCAATATGTTTGGTTCTCTCATGAAACACAGGATTTGAAGCAATGTGAATTGTTGCTTGATTATCACAGAACAATGGAGTAGGAGTTTCAACTGTCAATCCAAGTTCTTTTAGAAAATGTTGTATTCAGGTTAACTCACTAGTAGTATGAGCCATTGCCCTATACTCAGCTTCAGCACTAGACCGAGCTACCACCGTTTGCTTTTTACTTCGCTATGTAACAAGATTTCCTCCTACAAATGTGCAGTAGCCTGTAGTAGATCTCCTATCTGAAGGAGAACTAGCCCAGTCGGCATCTGTAAAACCTTCCACCCTGAGATGACCATTTGATTTATATAGTAACCCAAAACCTGGAGCTTGCTTGAGATATCGGATAATCCGAAGAACAACAATCCAATGTGGCATTCTAGGAGCTCCCATGAATTGACTTACTACACTAACTGCATATGAAATATCAGGTCGAGTGATAGTGAGGTCGAGTGATAGTGAGATAAATTAATTTCCCAACAAGGCGACGAAAGCTGCCCAGGTCATTAAATAGATCACCTTCATCAGACACAAGTTTTGTAGTCGAATCCATAGGAGCATCAACTGGGCGACTACCCAACATACCTGTTTTTTCTAATAAGTCCGACATATATTTTCGTTGGGATAAACTTATACCCTTCTTGGATCTAGTAACTTCAATACCCAAGAAATACCTAAGTTTACCCAAGTCTTTAGTGTGGAATCGATATTACAAAAACAACTTCAACTTAGCAATGCCTTCAGAATCATCACCTGTGATCACAATAGCATCTACATACACCACAAGAAATATGAAGCCAGCTTTAGTGCGCTGGTGAAATACCGAATGGTCGGTCTGACATCTATTAAGACCAAATTTTAATGCCGCCTTAGAGAATTTTCCAAACCAAGCCCGTGGAGATTGTTTCAATCCATACAGGGCCTTTTTAAAGCGACAAACAGTGTGAAGATACTCCCCCTGAGCAACAAACCCAGGTGTTTGCTCCATATAAACCTCTTCTGCTAAGTCACCATGCAAAAAGGCATTTTTAACGTCTAACTGAAACAGAGGCCAATGTCTATTAGTAGTAAGAGAAAGCAAAACACGAATAGAAGAAATCTTAGTAACAGGGCAAATGTCTCAGCATAGTCAATACCATAAGTTTGGGTATAACCTTTGGCAACAAGACGGGCTTTTAAACGCTCAATGGACCCATTTGGAAGATGCTTCACAGTATATACCCAGCGACAACCAACAGGTTTTACACCTGGAGATAATGGAACAAGATTCCATGTACCATTCTGATGCAAAGCATCCATTTCATCTTGCATTGCTTTCCTCCAGCCCGAATCAGACAAAGCATCTTGCACAGTCTTAGGAACAAATGTAGTAGACAACTGAGAGGAAAAACATGAGAAGGATGGCGATAAGGAATTATAAGAGATATAATGAGCAATGGGATGATTAGTGACACACGAGCGAGTACCTTTACGAGGTGCAATAGGCAAGGAATCAGACACAGTGGACTGTGTTGGATCCAATGACTTTGAAGACGATGGAGGAAGCACGACAGCAGATGGCTTTGGTCTTCGAGTGTAAACCTGTAAAGGGGCAGGCAAAGGAGAACACGGTTGAAGAGAAAGTGAGGGAAGAGGAACCGCAGGAAGAGACGACTCAGGAGTAATATCAAGAATTGAATCACTATCTGAAAAATATGGGACGGACTCACAAAAGGTTACATCCGCGCTAATAAAGTACCGTTGAGAAACAGGACTATAGCAGCGATAACCTTTATGAGAACGAGAGTATCCAAGAAATACACACTTGTGGCACGCGGGTTAAGTTTATCAAAATTAGGACTAAGATTGTGGACATAACATACACATCCAAAAACTCTAGGAGTAAGAGAAAACAAAGGGGAATGAGGAAATAAAATAGAAAGTGGAGATTTGCCATCTAATACAGATGACGGCATATGGTTAATAAGATGACAGGCAGTAAGAACAGCATCACCCCAAAACCGTTTAGGCATGCGCATATGACACAAAAGAGCACGGGTTACTTCTAAGAGGTGGCGATTCTTACGTTCTGCAACTCCATTTTGTTGAGGAGTATAAACACATGAATTTTGATGAATAATTCCTTTATCACTAAGATATGTATCAAGGGTTGAAGAATATTCCTTAGCATTATCAGAATGTAGAATACGAATTGGGCATCTAAACTGAGTTTTGATTTCTTTTCGAAATTTTTGAAAAATTAAAAATAACTTAGAACAATCTCTCATCACAAACAACCAAGTCAGGCGAGAATAATCATCCACAAATGTCACAAAATAATGGAATTTATTTATCGAAGAATGCTTTATTTGGACCCCATACATCTGAATGAACCAAATGAAAAGGACTAGAGACACGATTATTAACCCTAGACTTGAAAGACACGCGATGATGCTTACTAAGTTGACAAACTTCACATGACAAGAATTTCAAATGACTAAGACTAGGAACTTGACGCTTCAAAACTTGAAGTGACGGGTGACCAAGACGACAGTGCCATTGGAATGGAGACAGAGAAGACTGAAGAGCGACGGGATCAGGTGCCAAATCAAAGTAATATAAGCCACCAGCTTCATACCCCGTACCAATCTTCTTCTTCCTCTTGAGATCCTGAAACACACAAGAAGTACGATAAAATGTAACAGAGCACTGAAGAGATTTAGTAAGCTTACTGATAGACATTAAATTAAAGGGAAACTGAGGAACATATAAAATAGACAAGAGAGACAAGGAATCACTAAGTTGAGTTGTCCCTAAACCTGAAACCTTAGTGGCTGTGTTACCTGGACTCGCCTGTTCAGGCCGAAGTGTCCGTGTCGGCACGACACGACATGGACACGGACACTGGATCTGAGTCGGATCCTTCATGGCGTCTACCGGACACGGCTGATAGATGACGAAAACTCAAACAAAGATGTTTGGGTTGGTAGTTGTGAAGGATTGCGAACTTTCTTCATGCTTTATTTGTTAAATAGGTTGCCATTAATGAGATTAGAAAACTTACTGGTACAACAATGGCTGTTTGATTCAAAAGTAGCGTCTTTCGAAGGTTAGAGAAGACTGAAGTGTACGCGCTTTGTTTGCACAAAATTTTGTAACGGCCGAGCGTGTTTTCACATTCTTACTAATGCTTTTAATACCCTTCAACGGTCACGATCATGCCACTTGTCAATTTGGATGTAAAAATATGGGAGAGTTTGGTCTTTTAATAAGGATAATGTTTTACAGCTGTAAAACACTATCTAAGCTATGAACAATTTACAACTGTACTGGGACAGTTGTATTATTTTATTTAAGTAATATCTATCGGTCAATCTCGAGCAAATTTTTTGACTTGACAGTTTGACTTTATAAATAAGGTAATATTATTATAATAGTTGTATTACCTTCCTTTTTTTTTTTTTTTACAGTAAATCCATTCATTAAAAAAAAGAAACTGTACAAGGAAAGGCCCAGCCCAAAGGCAGCCCAGAAAAACAAAACTAAAACAGGCCCACACAGGAGCACATTACAGTTGCATCCACAACTGTAAGAACAGGTACAAGTGCAACAACAGAGCAAAAAAAGAGAACCCGCATCACAAAAAAATAGAGCTTGGAAGGCTCCACACTGCTATCTTTACATTTATATATTTATTCAATTTTTCATTAAAAAACTGAGGTCTAACATAAAAAAGGGTACATTTTTTTCTTTTCCTACAAGTGTCCAAGTGTCCGTGTCCAACTTTTGGACACTTTTATTCCGTGTCCCCGTGTCCTATAATTTGATAGATGGATGGATCCGACCTCTGGACACGCACCCGTGTCTGACACCCGCACCCGAGTCCAGGTAACATAGCTTAGTGGATAAACTATTAGCAAGAGTAACTCTTTGAGAGGAAGGTACAGAATTAAAATCAGATAGAAGAGAAGAACATCCAGTCATATGATCAGATGCTCCAGTGTCTATGATCCAAGGACTGCGAGTGGAAGACAATAGACATGTGTGTGCAGTACTTGACTGGGCAAAGGTAGCCGTGGAAGATGAATTAGATGCTTGCTTATAAGACAAAAACTGAGTATACTCATCACGTGGAACAGGGACCGTATTTGATTCAGCTACGTTGTAAGATCCAGAAGCAACATCATTCGGAGAGGATGAAACTTGATTTGCATAGCTAGATGGTTTGCCATGAAGGTCCCAACAAAAATTCACAGTATGATTAGAAAGGCCACAATGAGTACATTTTCATGATTCCCTGCCATGGCCACGTCCTCCCCATGAATCATGACCGCCACGTGTAGAGCGTCCCCAACGACTTCCACGGTAAGAAGTATTTTCTCCCTTTGAAACTATCAATGCTGAACGCTCACCACTTTGCCCAGTATTCAAAGTTGAGGTATCATTTGTAAGTGTAGCGCGTTCAAGTCGAGAAAATACATCAGCAAGAGATGGAAGTGTGGGACTGCCCATAATCTGTGAACGAAAAGACTCATATGCTGATGACAGACCAGTAAGAAAACGGACAACATTAAAGTCTTCACGTTGTTGTTGCATACTCCGAACATCAGCAGTAATGGGCTGATATATATTCAGCTCCTCACAGACTCCCATAACTTTGGAATAATACTTTTCTATACTGTGATTACCTTGTTCAAGATTGAAGTACTGCTTACAAAGCTCATAAACACGAGTGATATTACCTGTCCCAGAATGCAGTTGCTGCAATCTGTCCCATACTCCGAACATCAGCAGTAATGGGCTGATATATATTCAGCTCCTCACAGACTCCCATAACTTTGGAATAATACTCTTCTATACTGTGATTACCTTGTTCAAGATTGAAGTACTGCTTACAAAGCTCATAAACACGATTGATATTACCTATCCCAGAATGCAGTTGCTGCAATCTGTCCCATATCTCCTTGGCAGTATCCAAATAAAGTAAAGTTGAACTGATTTGGGGTTCAATACTATTTATTATCACAGAGATGATCTAAGCATTTTCCTTTTCTCATGCATCAAAAGAAGCATCAGTTTCCTTTAGTTTCTCTTTAGTCAGATGAGTACCAAGGCCTCTGCCTTTAAGAAATTTTTTAATAGATTTAGCCCACAGTATGTAATTCTTCCCATTGAGTTTAATTGAAGTCATGGGAGAATGAAGACCAGATGTGGGAGAGAACAAATCTGAACTGGACGCCATGGTTAACCCAGCAAAAATAGAGAAGAAGAAAAAAAAATGCAGAATTTGTATTCTGGCCGAACCTGGAAAACGGGCCGGACCTGGAAATCGGTCCGGATCTGGGGCAACTGGGCCGGATCTGGGTCAACCGGGTCGGACCTGAAAAGCGGGCCAGATCTAATAATCTGGGTTGATCTTGAACCGGATCTCGACCCAATAGGTTTAAGTGAACCTGGATCGGGATAACCTTGCGCCGGCAACCAAACACTACCCTTCTCCTTCTCAATCAACGCCGGCGAGAGCAATAATCTGCTGCCGTCAACAACGAGCAAGGATCCTCACCTCCACAAGGCGAAGCCCCAACCACCAAATCTCGACTGCAGTAAGGAACCACACTCAGTTTCAGCGGCGACTACTCACGACAACCATTGGCGTTAGAAAACGGAGAACAGCAAACAGCGAGAGGCCGGATCGACGACGAAAAACGATCCCTTCACGAGCTAGTACACACCCTCGCACCGCGGTAACAACGTCAATAGCCAGATCTACGCTCTGATACCATGTTCTTTTTATAGATTATAGATTATAGAGAAAGGGATGAGGGAGTAGATGGCAGAGAGAGAGAGAGAGAGAACTCTGATGAGAGGTGCAGCCCTCTTCTTCATATATTTACACACACTACAAACCTAATAAGCCTACATAGGCTTATATAAATGATACAAGTCAGCTAAAGAATACAAAGGCCCTACTATTGTATGTAATTACATAATGGCCCACCATATATATGTATATAACATTCTAACACATCAAACCTTTTATCTTGAGAATCATTTTTCATTTTTTTTGTTTCTCTTGGACCGTTGAATATCTTAGGCACGTACACTGATCAAACTTCCCATTATGGCATGAAAGTTCAGGAAGCCCACTAATCCAATTTTGAAGGTTTTTTTTTTAGAAACAATTTATTTAATAAAACATGTAGCTTTGGTTGCTCCTATATTAATTATGTCTGATTCTGCTGGGGATTCTTCTCAAAATTCTCTCAATGCATTCTCTCTCCTGCTGGGTGCATAATCACAAACTCCACTTGATGTCTGTGTCCAACCAATATTCATCAGAAGAATGAACTTAAGTTTGAGCTGATTTCCTTTCTTTCAGCATTAGAAAGGCTTTCCTTTGTTTTGTGAAAATGATATTATTTTCTGTTCTCTATCTTGTGTTTTCTTTTCAGTATACAGTGAAGAACTTGCAGTTCGCTTTGACAGTTGAACCAGACAATGTGAGGATAGCCCAAAAGTTGTCATGGGCTCAACATCAGCAACAGGCGGGCCACCCCACTGTTCCCTCAACCATTGAAGAAGAGCTGGAAATTAATCCGTTCATGCGGGTTGATCTACCAGAGGTTCAGGTACTATCATTCTCTTTCAATGATTTTCGCCCATAATTTTTGAAATCTTTGTTAGAAGAAATAAAAAAAAGCTTATGGAGACCACAAAGACACCAGTGCATTATGGAATCAGAGTTCTAGTGCCACATAAACTTTGCTTATTTCTTTGTTTGTGCTTTGCTTTCTCCACATCTGTCATAACAACATTTTGCCATATCAGAACCAAATATGACTTTCTTAAGTAAAGTATTTCTTTTTCAACAGGAGAAGGTTAATTGCAAGACCCCTGTTGAAGCTATCGGGGAGATAAGGAAGCGGAAGGATAATTGGAGAGGTTGATCAAGGACTTATATACTACTGCATTTTGCTGTTCCTATTCTGTATGTGCTGTATGTGGTCGTGTAACTATTGTATGTGCTGTATGTGGTCGTCTGAATTTAGGCTACTAATATTCCCTTTATCCTCCTGTAATATATTTGTCAAAACATGAACAAATATTTCTTGTGATTGTTGATGAACTTTATTCCTGTTCTACCATGACAGTGAATCTCGGACTTCTATGAAAATATGGACGAAGATGGTGGATCCGATTGATATTGTAACACGGTGGATCACAATGACGTGCATCAAGTTTATAGAACAGTATTTGACAATTTCAGGAACTGGATTCGTTCTGTTGATATGCTATTATTGACAAGTTCAGGGACTTGCAAATTATCTGGTTGATATGCTGCGAGCTGACTTATATGATGACTGACCTTAATTGTACTTATTCCTCCTAAATTGTATTGATTTATCCTAAAGATTTGAAGAATTGCACAAAGACTCTCTATGTATGAATTGCATCTTTAAAATATGGACAATGGAATAAAAATGTTAGCTTTTGTCAAGTACAATACTGCTAGATTCCTCAAAATTGTTAGCCCCTAGTTGTACTGACTGAACGGCCTTGATTCAGTTTGGTGGCGGGTTAATTGAACTTTCCTTTCTAAATGATTTTGAAATAGATTTAGCAATCTGTCTAAACCAGAATTCTTTCTAAAATGTTATCACCTCTCAGGACTACATGAAAATAACTTCTTATCTGGAAGTGGTTGTATTCCTAAAGACGTGGCTATAAGGAATAATTTGTCTGAACAATCATATTGTGCAGAAGAGTTTTATTTCTAAACTCTACATCAACCTTAGATATTCCTCTCCAGAGGCCACAACTTCAAGGGACCAATCCGTAGGATTTCATTGCTGCCCCAAACCTTTTATCTTTCTAGAATCATTTTTCATTTTTTTGGTTTCTCTTGGACCTTTGAATATCTTGGGCACACACACTGATCAAACTCCCTGTTATGGCATGAAAGTTTAGGAAGCCCACTAATCCAATTTTGAAGCTTAATCAGTGTTTATTTATTTAATAAAACATGTAGCTTTCGTTGCTCCTATATTATGTCTCATTCTGCTGGGGATTCTTCTTAAAATTCTCTTAATGCAGTCTTTCACCTGCCGGGGTGCATTATCGCCAACTTCACTTAGATGCATGTGTCCAACCAATATTCATCAGAAATGAACTAAAGTTCTAGCTTATTTCCTTTCTGTCAGCATTAAAATGGTCTTTCTTTTGTTCTGTAAAAATAATATTATTTTCCATTCTTTATCTTTTGTTGTCTTTTCAGTATACAGTGAAGAACTTGCAGTTCGCTCTGACAGTTGAACCAGACAATGTGAAGACATCCTAAGAGTTGTCATGGGCTCAACATCAGCGACAGATGGGCCACCCCACTGTTCCCTCAACCATTGAAGAAGAGCTGGAAAGTAATCCGTTCATGCGGGTTGATCTACCAGAAGTTCAGGTACTATTTTTCTCTTTCAATGATTTTCGCCCATAATTTTTTAAATCTTTGTGAGAAGAAATAAGAAAAAGCTTATGGAGACCACAGAGACCAAGTGCATTATGGAATCAGAGTTCTAGTGTCATATAAACTTTTGCTTATTTCTTTCTTTGCGCTTTGCGCTCTCCTCTTCAGTCATCGCAACATTTTGCCATATTACAAGAAAATATGGCTTTCTCAAGTAAAGTATTGCTTTTTTAACAGGAGAGGGTTAATTTTTGATCAACTTCACTCCCATTGCGGTTGCCGTTGATGATCTGAGAGTCAGCTTGTTCTACCATGACAGTGAATCTTGGACGAAGATGGTGGATCCAATTCACATTGTAACACGGTGGATCAAAATGTTGTGCATCAAGTTTATAAAACAGTATATTGACAAGTTCAGGAACTGGATTCATTCTGTTGATATGCTATTGACAAGTTCGGGGACGTGCCGAAAATTTCACATAACCTGGTTTTGATATGCTACTGCTCGACTTATATGATGACTGACCTTAATTATTCTCTTTAGGATATTATACTCTTCATCGTTGCATTGATTTATCCAGAAGATTTTATTTCAATTGGAATTTGGTAAGGCCTCCATTTCACTTGGGGACAAGGCTGTTTGGTGATGGGTAAATTAATTGCCCATCAATGAGGTGATGCCGGTTGCATCTACTACTGTGATGCTGTCCAACTCAAGGAGGTTCAGATTGAATTGAACCATGGGTTTCACTCATTAAAATATTCCCGCAGGACATTTAAACTGTAGTCCCGACTAATCACAAAATGTCGTGTAATTAAAAAGCCGGGATAATTGTAATAATTTATCCCGTCAATGCCTTTGAATCTCAGGGCATTCTAGAGGGATACAACCTCTGTGCACTCTATTTTGGTAGCTTTTGATTTTCAAAACAAATAAGCTTGACATTAATGCTCGGTTCGATAGAGGGAAAAAAAAAAAAAAAAATGGATGGAAGAGAGAAGAGTCGGTAGGACAAAAAAAAAAAAAAAAAATTGAATGGAAGGGAGAAAAGAAGGGATGGACGAAACGTTTCTAGGGATGGATTGTGTATATTTTTCTTTTTGTTCAGTTAAACAAAAAAGAATAGAATAAACTCATAATTTACTATGAGAAAATGACAAATAAAGTTTTAATTGTTTTTATTATTATATTCAATAATATTTATAATACTCTCATTTATAGATGGTAGTACTGTAATTTAAAACTTGTATAATTTAGGATAGATTTAATTTAAAACACGTATAGTAGTCTACATCTTCTCTTCTTCCTTCCGTCCATTTGGGTGGATGAAAATTTGTAAATGATTCTTCCTATTTTTCTTTCTTTTCTTATATTATCTCTACCCAATAAAGGAACTTTGTTTATTCCTTCTTATTTTATCCCCTTCTTTCTTTCCCACTGAACATAACATAAGCATTAATGGAACCCTAGTAGATTACTTGAAATTAAAGAAAGAGGACATTTTAAATATAGTATAAAAACGCAATAGATTACTTGTCCATACTGAAAAGGTATGCAATATGAGTCACGTTAGTTCATACAGGCTTCAACTTTCTTTTCAATTCTCATCCGCTTTCGGTGTATGCAGCTTATGGAACTGCATCTTCACTTTTTATTAATGAAATGTGGTGTAATAGCATAATTATGAAATCGAACACATGTGATATAAATTATGGGCAACCCGATTTGACATAATATATTATATAATAATTTAAATATATACTATTATCTAATGCTATAATATATAGTATTTACATAATATTTAAATATTTTATAATTATTTTCTCCTATTCCTCTTCCCTCTTTCTATTTTCTCTGACTCTTAAGTTTTTTTTATTTAACAAAAAGTAAAAGTTTTAATTTTCTTCTCTTTTTTTCTTCCATATTTTACTTGTCTTATATTTTTCCTTTTATAGATTATAATCATTGTTTGCCCTTCGTTTTTTAACATTAATTTCTTTTAACAAAAAATAAAATAAAAATTACACCCTTAACTGATCAAATAATCTAATCGGATTTATGATTAATAATAAATTAGATACGGATTCATTCGTTAATTATTCATCATATCATTGGATCGAAAAAGTGAATAATCTTATTGGATTGAGATCAATCAAAGGAGACTGATTTAGTAAGTCCTATAGAATTTTCATAACACAATATATTCTGACAATATATTGTGACAATATATATAAACTAATTGTTACCAAAATTAATAATTCTAATTTTTAAAATTATTTCTAAAAATATTTAATCATTCAAGTTTACTTTCCCAACAAACGGAGTAGTAAACAAAATTTTATCACATTTCTTTACATGGCATAATATATTCACGTGACCGGTCTAATTTCTCCTAAGAACTCTTTAATTTTCTCTTTTAAAAAATAGAAGATAATTAATATGATGGATAAAACCAAGGAAAATCACACACACACACACACACATTTTCATCTAAACCATTTTTTCTTAATTTTCTTTCTTAATTTTCTTTTTCTTTTTTTTTTTAAAAAAAGAAGAAGACAAAAAGATAATTAATATAATCGTTAAAATTAAAACCTTCCATTTTTTTTTTTTAAAAAAGTTCGAAAGGAAACACACGCTGATAGGAGTAATATATATATATAAACCATGATTTTTTCTTGACAAAGTAAATAAAAGAAAATGTGTTTGAACACTCCGTCTCTCTATCCTTTGACTTCGCCGTCTTCTCGTGCTGTACAGTTTTTCCATCTCCTTCATTTATTCATCACAGAAGCCCAAAGAACTCGAAAGGTCTAAGGTCTAGGGTTTTCAGGATTAGGGTTTTGTCTAGGGTTTTCAGGATTAGGGTTTTGAAACAATTCGCGGTGCAGAAAGAGGGACAGAGAGAGAAAGCAAGAAATGGAGACATCAACTGATTCCAATCCTGATACATACACAAATTCACCTCTTACCACTAGTACTAACACTACTAATCCAAGAAGGTACGGGCTACAGTTCCCCGCTTTACGCTTCCTCCGGTCACCGGTATCTACCATATTGGAATATTCCGGCGTTCTTCGTCCTAGGTCGAACAATCACGAAGCGGAGTCTCTTATGATCGATGGCGATGCCGGACACTTTCGCCGTCGTTTGGACGATTCAGGTGCGGCCAGTGGCAGTGGCAGTGACGGTGAGATCTCGATTAGGATAATTGGGGCCGGAGAACAAGACCATGTTAGCTTCGACAGTAGTGATGAAACGCTGGGTCCGATGTCGGACAATGGGGTGGTTGACGGTGATGATGTGAGTGAAGTTGGGGGTGGAGAGAGGACTTCCCCTGTGGCGGCTGATTCTGTAAATGGGGATGCTGCCAATGGCAGTAATAGAGATTCGCCGTACCAGAGGTATGATATACAGCAGGTTGCGCGGTGGATGGAACAGATTCTTCCCTTCTCGTTGCTGTTGTTGGTTGTGTTCATTCGTCAACACTTGCAAGGTACTCAATTGGACATTCCTTCAGCCCCTTTTGCATCATTTGTTGTTGATATCTTTGTTTTTTTTTTTTTTTTTTTTTTTTTTTTTTTTTTTTTTTTCCCCTAGTTGGTACTCACGCACCCCCCTCCAAGGAATTGTTGAATTGTTTGCACAGTAATCAATCCTCCCAAGTCTTTTCCAACTAGGCCAACCCCTTGAGGTTTTGTTGATATCGTTGTTTAATGAACTAATTACAATAATTTGTGTAATTGAAAGTGTATAAATGGTGTAGTGTAAGTGATATTCTAGCTTAGTATCATGATGTAGGAGAACATATATATAATGTATGCAGTATGTTATAGTGTTGATAATTTGTACAAGAAACAGATTATATCTGGATTTGGGTGCGGGTATCCATATTGGGACGATAGGTAAGATAGGCACTGAGTATAGCAGATTAATACTTGAACACTTCTTTCATGCCCAAATTAGGAAAGGTATGCCCACGGTTGGACTTGGCATAGTTTTATGTAAAGTCCCTTCTCTTGTTTGTTTTAATGTACATTTTTCAAAACATAATGTATTCTAAGATTTGTGTCATCTACTGGAAAACTCGAAAAATATTATGATTGTGGAGAGAGGATTTGAATGAGAAAACTATGGAACAAATAGGGGCAACTATTCCTCAGCAATTTTAGAGCTAATTTGATGGATATCACAGAAAATGGAACAAATACGACAGTTGTATTGATCATGAATTAGTAATAGTACATGTCTTATATATGTAGATGTTTATCAGCAATTTTAGAGGAGCATAGCTTAGAGCTGGGCTTGGATTCTCCCTAGCTCAGCCTGAATCAAATTTGACCCTGTAGTTTAATCTCAACATTATTTTGTTTTGCTATTTGCATATCTCAGCCAGCTTGCTAAACCTTTGAGTTGGATGGATTTATCTTGGCAGTGTTGCTTAACTTGCACCGTTTTTGGAATAATTGTGTGTGTGTGTGTGTGTGTGTGTGTATACCGATTTTGGAAATTACGTAGATTGACCAGCTTTAAGAATAAGATCCCTGGAAGAAGTCCATATTATACCTTCTATTGCATTTGGTATAATATATATTTTTAGAGTTTTGAAGTTCACTCTAGTGTCCAGATCCAAAAGAAAAGTTTAATCTAGCCTAAACTCAGTCTGTTCTCCAATACCCATACAGATTGAGCTAGAGGCTGAATGTTTATATTTGAATTGGTTGAGCTTGGTTCTACAATGTGGACTGGGCACAGTTTGACTTGACGCTGGACTATCTTGGCATTAATTGTTCCCGAGTTATTGATATCCAGTACATTAAAGTTCAACTATATAGGGAGTAGACGTGTAACATAGAAAGATGTTAAGTAGTTGTTATGATACTAGTAAGACTTTTATGATTCATATCAACACTCATGCTTTGTTGTCATGGGAGCCTGGGTAATGTGAAGAGCCTGCATGGCTGTAGACTTTAGATTCATGTAATTAACCGGGTAAATCTAAGAATTAATTTGATTTAATGTGAGAGACGCGTACCTTTGGGTCAATATCTTGAAGTAGGGTTTGACTGATGAAGTTTGAAGGGGAGAGAAATATTTTGTCCCTTCTCTACAGTTTGAAAAAAGAATTAGTTATGTTTTATGTAGATAACTACTTTATTCAAAAAACATAACACCTGACCTAAATCATGACCTCACATCACTTAAACCAACAGAGTTAGTTGGAGAGTTTATAGAGAGCTAATTTGATGGATATCACAGAAAATGGACTCTGAGATGATTGATAAGTATTTTTTCTTAGTTGGTACTCATACACACATGTTTCTTATGAGACTTGAACCCTTGACCTCCCTTTGGGAAGTAAGAGGCTGATACCGCTAGGTCACTGGTCCGTTGGTTATGATTGATAAGTATTGCTATAAGGGATTAGCAAGCATCATTATCACCATCTTCATTCATGTAAACTCAGTGTCTACAGAAATCTACGAACCTCGACAAATAAACAAAAGAGTTCATATTTTCTATAAACAAAAAAGACTCGGAGAGAAATGGCGTGTAATAAAAAAGATTGGAGACAGAGAATTCGTGTGGTCAACTCCATTCAAATGTGATTAAGGGAAGGATGATGAGCATGATGACGAGATTGGTGGAACAAAATTGATAGTGCTAATTTATTCGGAGAGCATTATTAATGATAGGTGTGATGTTTGTTTCCTGTACCAAACCACAGTGAGATGATTATTCTTGAATTTTTACTATAAGCTTTAGTGACGCTACAAAAGAATATGGTATTCTTTCTTCTGCCCTTACCAATTCACGCTTTCATTAAGGATGCTGGTAATGTCACCTTTTGGTATGTTAGAAGCTATTTTACCTTTTATAGACAAGATTGTGAATAAAAGTCTCACACATATGGCCATAATTTACCATCTTGGATTGAATTTTTGTTATTTGAACATTGAGAATATTGTTTTCATATAGTTAGTGACGGTTTCTTTACCATGAGGGCATGCAGGTTTCTTTGTCACAATCTGGATCACTGCAGTCATGTTCAAGTCAAACGATATTCTTCGAAAGCAGACGGCTCTAAAGGTATGTTCATCTGTTATACACTATATATTCTGAAATTGATTTGTAGGAATGATGCAAACTGAACCTTGTCTCAAGGAAAAAAGGAAGGAAAAAAAGAAGAAGAAAGATAAAGAATCACTCAAGCTTAACAATAGTATGTTTTTGCAGGGGGAGAGAAAAATGCTGGTTCTCGTTGGCATATCCATAGTTTTTATAGTTCATGTGATTGGTGTGTACTGGTGGTATCGGAATGATGATCTTTTCTACCCATTATTCATGGTTCCTCCAAAAGCAATACCGCCTTTCTGGCATGCTATATTCATCATTATGGTTAATGGTATGAATTTTTACACTACGGTTATTTTTTGCAATAAATACATTTAGTACACACTTCTGATACCTTGCAACCTGCATATGAGCATTGGCGACAAAATTTGGAAAGGGAATACAGTGCATTGTTGTATGTACTATAAAATTTGTTGGTTTGTTTGGAATAATTTAGCGTTGCCCTCATTATGATTTATTCCGATTATTTTGCTGCCATAGCTTCGTATTTATTCTTCAAGATTTCAACTTTAAATTATTGCATTTTATACTATTTCCTTGATTACACCATGGAAGGTGTACTTTCAGCTATATTTTCTTTAATGTGGTATGAATGATTTATATTTGTATCATTTTATGCAAGTTCCATGTGTTCATTTTTGTTTTGGTTTTTCTTTCTTCTTGTATTTTCTCCTTTCATTTTCGTCTTGATTTTTCATTCGGTTTTCTGCCTTTACTATATTTCACATCTTGCGCATTTCCTATACTATCATCAACTCTATCATGTTACGTATATCCCATAATCTGGATGTATCAATCTTTTTGAGAACATTTTCTATGATGTTATTTTGTTTCCAGATATAATGATGAGGCAGGCAGCTATGGCTTTGAAGTGCATGCTGCTAATGTATTATAAGAATGGCAGAGGCCACAATTTCCGTCGGCAGGTAACCTAATTCATGCAGTACATAATCATTTATTACTTTGAAGGTTACTTTTTAACTTTCTGAGAACTCTCTGACAGTAGATAATTTCCTTTTAAGGGTCAAATGCTAACTCTGGTTGAGTATTCGCTGCTGTTGTACCGTGCTTTGTTACCGGCACCTGTCTGGTATCGATTCTTTTTGAACAAAGAATATGGAAGCCTCTTTTCATCATTGACTACAGGGTTGTATTTGACTTTCAAGCTTACATCAGTTGTTGAGAAGGTGTGGAGAATAATTTATGTTTGTGAGACTATCTCTATCATTTTCTTGAATCTGTAAAGTATGAACTAAAGCGCCTTTATGCGTCGTCTTTAACTTCTTGTTGGAGTTCCTATTCAGGTCCAATCCTTCTTTTCTGCCTTGAAGGCATTATCGCGAAAGGAAGTCCAGTACGGTTCTTATGCCACGTTGGACCAGGTATGTGGTTGCTTTCAACTATCCAACCCTGTAAAAGTTGTTTACATTTCAACTTGGAGGCTGGCAAGAATATAGGAGGTGGATATATCTTTAAGCTACTTGCAGATTCTCTGCTTCATTAATTTATTTGATCAGGAGTTCAACACTAACGGGGAGGTTTCTTCTACTGATACATGCCAACAATTTAGTATACATGTGACTCTTTACAGTTTTAACTCACCAAACAGACATGGAAAGCATTCAAGAAAAACTAGTATTACATTCTAGCTTGTATCAGATCTGGAAAATATATGTCAAAAATAATTTTCGAGTTTTGTGAAAATAGAATTTGGTTCTCTAACCTTCACCATGAAAATATATATATATATATATATATATATATATATATATATATTGTGAATAATCCACAATTCCTGTTCTCTGCCTCTTAATTTGTTATTTTTACTGTAAACCAATTCAATGGGGCCGCGGCACATTTACCGTAAATAGTGTTGTAGGTCTTATGGCATGGTTTCCTGCAAGGGATGTGCATTAAACTAGTCTCTACGTATTTAAAATTTGGAGAGTGACTAATGAATCGAGGATGATAGAAAGGAGAGGATTTGCCAGCCATTCAGGTTCTTCTCATTATGATCTGAGTTCGTTCAGAAAAACTTTAGTGTCTGGAGATTGATTTGGTTATAAATTGAGCATGGTCTTTTGGCAAGAGAGTGGATACCTTGTAAAATTTTCAGTGTGGATAGATTTGTTATCATTATCTGTTCACATGTACACCTTTTGTCTTAGATCTCCTAATAAACTCTCTCTCTCTCTCTCTCTCTCTCTCACACACACACACACACACACACACACACACACACACACACACACACACGTGAGCACACACATTTCAGCAACATGCAGCAACATGTAACTGGGCAAGTTCTCCCTGTATTTTAAACTCTTTGTAACCGGTACAGGTAAATGCAGCAGGAGACATGTGTGCTATTTGCCAGGAGAAGATGCATGCTCCGGTTTTATTGCGCTGTAAACACATCTTCTGTGAAGATTGTGTTTCTGAATGGTCAGTTTCTTATTTTGCTTTTGTATTCTACTTTTTCTGTTTTGTCTTACTCATTTAATTGTTTTTCTTATAATGTGTGGCATGTACTTAATATCTTGTTTGGACAGTTAGAGAACACGTTCATTGTTGAGTGATCACAATTTCTCACTGCTGAAACGTATGCATTTTGTGATGTTGCTTAGGATAGTGCTACAATTAGAATGACCTTATTTAAACTAATTCACGAGCTATATTTTTTTTTAGCTTCAATTGTGCACACAAATCAGAGACCTTTCTCGCGCTCAATAGAAGATTGATCAAAAGTCCAGATTAAAATTCATTTAGAATAAATTGCATGTTCTGCTCAAATTATTTTCTTTGACCAGTGTGTGTGAGCTTAAAATACTTAGAATTATTTTTTTGGATCATTTTATCATGGTCTACATGATGATGTGCGTGTAATTAGATGGAAATCATACGAAGAACCATGGGGCCGACCTCGTGGTAGATTTACTTGGGTGGCAGTCTGTTTTGCTTCCCGGATTTAGGGTGCCCATTTGAAGAATGCTGAAGGTCAATGACTTGTATTATTTTACTCCATAAGTTTAAGGATGAAAATCTTCCCCACAAACTTGAGTAAGCGTGCTCAACTGAACAAAGACCAATTCTAAGAGGCTGATTGTCAATTAGTGTTTTTTTTTTTTTTTTAACAAGATGATTGTTATAATATAAATTTGGAAATTTAATCCTATAATGCTCCTTAGATATATCTAATTTTTAGTTATATAGTAAATAACAAATATAGCATATACACCAACGGCCAGTGGCCTAGCGGTATCAGCCTCTTACTTCCTAAAGGGAGGTCAAGAGTTCAAGTCTCTGAAGAGACAAGTATGGGTGAGTACCAACTAGGAAAATATATATATATATATATATATATAGAGAGAGAGAGAGAGAGAGAGAGAGCATATACAAGTAACCACTATCAGTTGTTTCCTCTGTTGATCAATTGACACTACTTTGTTTGCAGGTTTGAGAGAGAAAGGACTTGCCCTTTGTGCAGGGCCTTGGTTAGACCCACTGATCTGCGTTCTTTTGGTGATGGATCAACAAGTCTGTTCTTTCAGTTGTTCTAAAAATTACACTTTCTGCTTCAAAGCAATATATATATATATATATATATCTCTCTCTTACTCATAGTGGTGTTTTCCCAAAATTTTCATCTTTGATATGTGCTAGTGTCACACTGCCTCATTCTTGGAAATTTTTCCGGAAGGAATTAGCAATGTATTGACAATATGTTCCCCTGTTGTATTCATTAGGTTAAACCCATGTGATATTGAGAGAGGCTACAGACAGACTGGGAGTATTTTCTAATCCCATGTCCGTATATAGTATATAAGTTAATATATATATTTTGAAGAACCAAAATTTATCCTTCTTTTGTTGTATGCTTTTTACAAATAGGTGTTGATCTTGTCACTCTCTAAGTGACCAACTATACCCTGAACATATTTTCTGAACTTTTATATTGGGGTAAACTCGAGTTACTCTACCAACTGCTGTGTAGCTTAATGCTATTCGTCCACAGGAGAAGGTCGAGGTTCAATGTGTGAGTGCGAAAAAAAAAAAAAAAACTCGAGTTACTAATATTAATATAAGTTGGGTTTGGGTTAAGTAGGATTGCCCAATACCTCTGTCAAAGTCCAACCCAAAACAGTGGGCCCCAAACCCAACCAAAACAACAGAAAGGGGATGTAATTTTCAACCCAAACTCAACCAAAAAATAAAAGAAAAAAGAGAGGAGATGCTTAAATCCCTTAAAGATTGGGTAGACCTTGAGTTGAGTGTGGGTTAGGTCACCTAAATTGCATATTTAAAATCAACATGTACAAGATGATTAACTTATATCGAAAGTCAAAAGTCGAGGTACATACTCTAACCAATTTCTCAAATCATAGAAAACTCCGTTGGCCTACTACACTCACGGACTTGAAAATTAGGTCAAAATAATATATATTTCTTAAAATTACTAAGTACAGGCATATATCGCTGCTCAAACTCCTCCCCTCCACTCCGTTTTTTGAAGTAAGGAAGTTACATCATTAGGTCCAAAGAAAACTTAGAAATCAATCATATGAATAAATCTTTCCATAACATTTTTAGATTCTGTCTCAAAACCGAGAGGACAATGCTTAATTTCAAACATGAAAAAAAAAAAAAAATAAATAAATAAAATGGCGTTGGGATGTAGACGGACTTCATGTGATTGAGAGCGAAGCAGAGCATGTGACGATATTGATGATAGTGACAATACAGATTTGTGTCAAGGTCACGGAGCTGGAGGCTGGAGCTGGTTTCCATCTTCCCAAACAGTCCAATCAAGTGCTCTGATACACTGGTTCTATTTGACAAACTATGTTTGTTGGTATTTGAATCCAATGTAGCGTGATAGAGAATTTTGATTTACTGTTGGTGGCCACCACCACACATAGTGTACGAGAAATAATCACACGCATGACCAGTTGAACGATCCGTATACTTAGATGTATGGTTTTCACAAACAAAATAATGGCAAATATGACTCTTAAAAACCCCACCAAAGATGGGGCGGTGGTGACCACAAAGCCATCACAACTTGTCAATACAATGTGCAGAGGCAATTCTATGCGCGATTAGTAGTATTCAGGCACCGACTCTCACTCACTCATAAAAATCTTTTCACATTTGTACTTCCACCACCTACAATATCACACACACACACACACACACACACACAACCACAACGGGTGGAACATCAGGGGTTTAAACACTTCCCTCGTGACAATTTTTTTTTTTTTTTTTTTTTAATATTACACACACACACACCATATATAAACCACAACGGGTGGAACATTAGGGGTTTAAACACTTCCTTCATGACATTTTTTTTTTAAAATTTTTGGTAAACTAAAAGGTACTCAAATAAGGTCACACCCGCTCTCGAAAAGTTACACACTTTATTAGCTAAAGTAACATAATATTAGTGAATCTTAAGAAGGGTGAAAAGTTGAGGTGGCAAATTACAATACGACTTGCCAACACGACACAAGATAAGCGAATTTGGATTAATCTTAAATGGGTATGGGTCATAAATGGGTTTACACGATTAACCCGTTTATTTAATCATGTCGGGTTATGGTTGAAGGATTCAACTCGTATAATTCGTTTATATCCGTTTAACTCAATATATCATAATCGTGAATATGACCTATGTATTATGTTATTTAAACCTAATTACTATGAACAGTTCAATCATTTCAACATTAATCTTGACATCGCCTTATGCTTTTTCTTCTTATTTTGAATATTTGAGTTAATTGTGATAAAAATTTTCTAGTATTTATTATTTGATTGAATATTAAATTTTTCGTTTTGATAAACAAATTATTAAACGGATTAACATAATAAATAAATTGGATTAATGTTAAGAGTTTTTAATAGGATTATTAAATAAGACGAATTTAAATATACTTATTTAATATAATATCTTTACATTCAAGCGATGCGTTTATGACTTAAGATAACTATTATAACTAGGGAAAAAAAACAGAGAAAAGTGAGAGTGAAAAATAGTAATACTAGGAAAGAATCATGGACAAGGCAAAACCAGCACCTGAGTCATGGAACAAGGTTGCAGAGGAGGGGCCAATGTGTGATGTAGTGTCACTATGTCATAATTTCATAAAAAGATGAGCATTTCGCATGTGACTCCATCTTGATGTTTGTAAAGGGCACTATGGGATGTGAATGACAACCAACCATTTTTTAATTTATTTTTATTTTTTCTAACAGAAAAAAACAACCATTGATGGTGGGAAATTTTACCTGAATTAGCAACAAACCCATTATGGACATTCTTATATCTGAATTAGCTGACGCAATAGTGGGCATTCTTTGACGTAAATTAGGTAACATAATAGTGGGCACTTTTGCATACCTAAATTAGCTAGCTCTATAGGGACAGTTCGGTGTCTTTGGGGGGCACAAATCCGGATACAAAGAGATGTGATATTGGTCCCATTTTGGTCATACATTAGGAAAGAAATGTTGGGGCTAAATGGCATTCACTTGTCTCTTGTTACAGTAACACATGGACAAACTAGCTCATGTGTTCTGCTTAGGGTTTACTGTACAAAGCAACTATATCCTAATGCAGTAGGATAGCATCACAAAATATATCATCCATTACTACGTAGTCAAAATATATTATTACTCTTTAGTTCATCTAGAATTACATATTTATACACTCAATCCTATAATAAAGGAAACAAATCACAAAATAAACTTCATCGTTTACACGTGTTGAAGATATGTTCGTTCACTTTATACATCCCTGATCGGTCCTTGGACTATCAGCTTGGACTTAAGAGATCAAACTGGGTGGGGTGCAACCCTTTCATAAGTATGTCAACAATTTGGTCGATTGAAGAAATATACCGCACATCTAATTCTTTAGCTACAACCTTTTCTCTAACGTAATGATAGTCCACCTTAAGGTGCTTCGTTCTTCCATGAAAAATTGGATTTGAAGTGACTCAAATTGAGCTTACATTATCACACCAAAAGACCGGCCATTTCCTAAGGACATGTAAATCACAAAACAAATGACGTAACCAAGAAATTTCGGTAGTCGCATGAGCAAGTTGTCGATATTCCACCTTCGTGCTCGATTGAGAAACCGTTGATGTTTCTTGGAGCTCCAACTTGTCAAGTTGCCACCAAGAAAAATACAATAACCAACAGCGGATCTCTTATCAACCAGATATCCAGTATAGTCAGTGTCTAAGTATCCCTTGATAAGCGCTGAAATGATATACATTTTAACCCTTAACTTACATATTTTATTCTCTTGGTAATTGTTTTATTTGTGATTTTATGTTGTTTTAGTGTTTTTCTTATTTTCAGACCCTTAATTATAAAGTCAGTTAAAACCATGGGTTTTGTGCTTTAAAGATGATATCCAAGAGATTAGGGGAAGATCACGCCATGATGAAGATCCAAGTTTAATTAGATTCGGAGAAGAGCCCAAAAGAAGTCACAAGCTGATGAGAATGGAAACAAAAAGAAAAGGAAGAATCCTTCTCCAACTAGGAAATTCTTTCTTGATTTGGAAACTGGACCTGTTTTGGTATTCTGGCTGTATCTTCTTTTGTGAGTGTCAAAATGACTCAAATTCTTTCTAAATAAAAGAAAATTTGAAGCTCTACAACTTTGTATTTCACAAAAATTTCATGAAAAGGAAGTTTACTATGTCAAAATGGGCTGTAAGACGGTATGAATTTTAGAGTTTGAGTTTGGCAGATTTCCTATTTCCTATTCTGTTTTGGAGTGATTTCAAGGGCTAACAAAATTGGATTTTCTTCACAACTAGAAGAGGAGAGGAAGGGCATTGATAGTATAGTTTAGAGACTTTCTTTAGAGTTAAAGAGGAGTTTTCAAAGACAAGATTAAGCAAGAGAAGACGAAGATGGAGGTTTCCACATCCATGAAGTTTTCTTCCTTCTCCATGAGCAGCTAAACTCTTTCTAAGGGATTGATGTAACCCTAATCTTAACTCCAATGATTTAATTATTTATTTTATTGGGATTATTTATTGTATGATGATTGCATGATTAAGGCAAAACAATGGTTATACCTTGATTTTGGGATTTAATGCTTAAATTCAATTATATTTGATATCTTACCTTGTCTTAGGAAGAAGGATTTATAATTGATCTCAATCTCTCTATTTTCTATGATTATATGGTAGGTTTATCATGCAATGGTGCTTAATAATCATATGTTTAGGGGTTTGATATGCCATACTAAGGGAAGATGGGTTGTACTACACCCTTAGTTTAATGTAGTTAGGTAGACGGTCCATACTAACCAAAGATGGGCTATGCTTGGCCCTAGATATATGAGTTTTTTTTTTTTTCTTTATAAATTATGTTATATGCTTGTAGCTATACATCTTCTGATCGTATAAAATATCCTAATAATATGTTTAATTGACCATTGGAGGGCGGATTAGTGTTAAAGTCAATACCTTAGACTCTCTATCTCTTAATCTCTCCAATTACTAAGTTTAAGTTAGATTTAAATAATTAGTTAAATTAAAATTTAAAACTTCTCTTTCGAATTAAATTAGAAATAATCCTAGTATCATGACAGCATAACTGTCGCAGTCCTTGAGGTTCAACACTCTCAATATAGCCCTATCCTGCAAGGATTTGTATTATTGCGAGTTGTTTATCATTGAAGAAAATACGCATCATCCCTTCAATGCTAGCATCCCCACATTTGAATAACAACTCATCATTTAAAGATTTTTTAATATATCAAAGAATTTGTTTGGCCAATGTCCAATGTAAAGTAGTTGGCTCATACATATGTTGACACACTTGAAT